CAAACTGAAAAAACTGTATTCCATTGTTGAGCGTTCTAATCAACCTATCCAGAAACAGCTGTATTGCGAGGTACTGAAGCCGAAGCAGTAAAAACATTTTGGTCTATTATCTCTTTTCTCACCCAACTCAAACAAGAAGGGCACTTATAGGAAACATGTTTCGAACAGCCTCGAGTGTGTGCTCAGGAATAAAGCAAAGGGAAGATTCCCTGAAGTTGATGCGGCAAATAGCCGTTTCGGATGGATACGAAACTGTAGCTCTTCGGGATAAGTGTGGAGGAAAACCGAACACATGCCCTAAACTGTGCAGCTATGAAACGTTGATCAAGAAGGACCGTTTCAGAGAATTCGGTAAGAGTGATTGAAATCCTACCGAGCGCTCTACGACGCTGGCTAGCTCGCAACTGCCTGTACGACTTTTTGTCTACAACGGAAACTTGCATAACATGGCACATCGGTAGAGGCTGCGATTGCATGAGTTCAGGTGCAGTTCATCTGATCTCTTGTAAAGCGTGCAGAGACGAATACATTGGCGAAACGAGTAGTGCACTCTGAGTCGGTATGAAAGAACATCTGGTCGGCGATCTCGAAGTTAAAGACGATACTCCACAAGGTGCGCATAGGACGCACGAGGCATAACTGGGAGGCTTTGGAAGTACAAATGACTATCTTCGCACAAGAATCGGAAACTTCGGCGCCCAAAACTCTCGGAGCGTTCTGGATGAATTCCAAGAATCTGAAAATAGACTGCAAAAAGAGGTGCTTCGTAATCACGCGTTATCTCACACAATATTTAAGGCACTTCGGTTGATAAACGCTGTTTACAACAACAGACTTTGTACAAAATAGGACTAGATAAAGGAAAGTGCGCCATACATTCGACTTCATTAACCATCGTTTAGAGGCAATTGAATGCATATCCAGTCTTTACAATGACCCACGGTGGCCAATCGTTGTATCAAGGCAATGCTGCTATCACCCGAGACAAGTCTGATACCAACTTCCCCACCTGGTAGGATGCAAGGCTCGGTGGGCTATGGGCGCGGGGATCGACTCTACGTGCGTGTTGCACTGCGCTGCACTCGCCCTAACGCCTCGTACATGGTTCCCATTAGAATAACAGGTTTAAATACTGCCCACTAGCACTTGTAATTATAAAACATTCCTCTCTGCGATTTATTTTCGGATTTTTAGCATAAATTCAGAACCCTTCGAGAGTTTCGCGCACTTGTGTTTTCGTTTACTGTATGAGGATCATAACCCTTACTTAAAAATATCCCCCGTTATATCTCTGCGTCTTATGCGTTCTTAGTGGAGTACTTGGTTTAAGTTTACCGACTAGGTGTTCTTTTACACTAACGCAGGCTGTTCCACCTGTTCCACCAATGTATTCGTCCCCACACGCTTTAGAAGATATCAGATAAACTGGACTCGAACTCATGAAATCGGCGTCTCTACCATTAAGGCAAACTATGCAGTTCCGCGTTGCACATGAACGGTCATACAAGCGGTTACAAAGTAGCTGGCATCTCAGAGTGCTAGGCGGCATTTCAATTATGGTTACCGAATTCTCTTGAACGGCCCATCTTAAGCAGCGTTTTATAGCTGTGCTTGCTCAATTTGAAACGAAATGCAGGATAAATGGAACCTTGTTATCGCTGGAGATTTTGTTTGGGGGGTTGGGGTTTCCTCGACACCTTCGAGCTAGAGTTTCGTAGTTGTTAGAAGTGGCTATTCGGAGAGCCACGTTCCAGAACTGCTACCTCTGCTCTCTCCCTGTGCACACGCTTGTTTCTGCTTAAAACATGTTTCTTATAGGTTTCGCTTCATGTGTGTAAGGGGTTCGAGGAGAGGTAATCAAGGAGTATGTCTTCACTACTTGGTTTTCGGTACCACTTCGTAGCGTAATCATTTTTTGATAGGTTAATTTAACGTTCAAAAATGGAGGCCAATTTTTTCTCGGTTTCTCTCGGGTGATACTCTGACTTCCAAGTCCGACTTTCTATTAACCTCGGTATTAATTGAATATATCTTTCCACTTCTGTTCAGCAAGCACGAGGTGCTATTTTATTTCTTTATTTACGCACAAGCTGACGTTTCGGCGGATTTCGCCTTCCTCAGAGCCTGGAAGGGTCAACTTGATAGCAATCCACTCGGCCAGACGCCTCCATAACCAAACGGAGAAAACGCTAAAACAAGATTTCAATCACATTCAGCACAGCTCTGCACACTCACCTCTTTATATGAGTCTTCCACTGAGTATGTCGCGTGAAGACCGACCGCACCAAATTCACGTGGAAGCGTAATGTGCTCCTCCCATCAGAATAACAGGTTTAATAACAGGAGGAATGCCTAGTTATCATGCGCGATATTGGACAGTGTATCAAAGAGGGAGCATGGGAACTTCCAGGCTCTGAGGAAGGCGAAATCAGCCGAAACGTCAGCTTGTGCGTAAATAAAGAAATAAAATAGCACCTCGTGCTTGCTGAACAGAAGTAGAAAGATATACTCTGACTGTTCATTCAGTAACTTAACACATTTGTCCATTTCCTCTTGTGTTGAGCAAATGACAATGCAATCACTATATATCTACAGTAGAGTAATGGCCGTGGACCAGTTACTGGTGCTTCCACTTTAAACATAAGTGCGATGGCAAGTCTTATGACAGTTGTTGTTTTATTGCTAGCCTTCTCAAATGTGCGTAATACTTCTTAGACCACGTGAAGACAGACGCGAATACTATCTTCTGCATTTAGACCGCGGATCTACCTCATATAACGGATCCCGATAGGCGGTTAGCCGCTAGGCTACGTGGAGCGTCTTCAGATGGCGGATACGGGGTTAACCGCTTACCAAAAGCGACTGTTACTTGCCTGAAACGCAGGTGGATCGTGGTGATGGACACCCTATTTCTGCTGCGCCGACTTGGCACGTACTTTCTATATATACGAAGCGTATTCATAAATGCGTGTGTGGATGCGTTCTTGCTTATGATTGTATTCTACGAGTCAATTCGGCCAAAAGCATGCAATCAATTGACTGAGAAGTATATGGGAGGCAGTTAGGAGTGGCCTCCAACAAATAAGCTCTATGTCCACTCTGGGAGAGTCTGGAAACCTACCCGTGATTATACCGAGCTCTCGCGTTTAAAGCCCAGCAAGCTATACGTGGGTATCAATAAGCCAAAAACAGCAAAAGAAACGGGCCTCATTCCTCTAACTCTGAAAGGGCCCCCATTATCGTAGCGTTGGATAGAACGGGTACGGCGAAGCTGCTAAAATCTCAGAACCAATAGAAGCTGCCTGGATCGCAAAGAACTAAGGTGACGATCTGTACATATAATACACATACACTTGGATCCGAGTCCTCGATAGAAGACTTGCTTATTCAAGCAAGAACGATAAGGTACGGGGTAACATCGTCGTGGTAGAGGCGTGACGACGTCACTCTTTCAACGCTGTCTATGACACCGGTAAAGAAATGTTCCTCGGAACATGCGACAGGAGGGCAGTGGTGGTGTCGGCGTTCTCGTCAACACGAGTTTGTCCATGAACATTGATTCATTCAAACAACTAACAACTCGAATTGGATGTTTATAATTAAAAAGATGTGGATTAATTCCGACTTTAGCCATATTCGTCGTTTACGAGCCGAAATCAAACTATGACAAAAAAAAAGAACTATGAAGAACTATATGATCTTAGAGAAGTTCTACAAAAAAGACTATACGTTTACGAAGGTTATCATTGAAGATTTTAACGCCATGATTGGACCAAGAAGAACGTCTGAAGAACGTCACATTGGGACCTATGGATTAAAATCGAACAAACAGGTGAGCGGCTATCCGAGTTCATCATGGCAACCAAGACGACCATGGTAACTCGCAATTCCATAAGCCCCACCCTCAACGCTGGACGTGGGAGTCTCCTAATGGAGAGTACCATGACGGAATAGAGCACATCACAGTAAACAGAAGGTTTTGCCTACCGATGTCGCTGTTGTCCCAAAATTCTACACGGGGTCAGACCACCGTCTCCTTCGTGCAAGATTCAATTTTTCGCCGAAAGAGGAAAAGGCCACTAAATTCAAAAACCGAGGTCCGAAAACCACTATGAATTGCGACGTGTGGAATCACACGAGCTACAGGCAACAGCGAACTAACGTCCGAACTTGCAAAACAATGCAGACAAGCGGTAAAAGAAGGTTTTAAAGAGAGAAGAGCAGTAGTTATGGTCGAAGCTGCAGACGCTCTCCGACACCCAGGCGAAACAGTTACAGCGTCCAGAAATGCAATAGAGAAAATAATTCACGAATACTACTCAGATCTCTTCGATAGTCACGTCCACCTTCCGTCATATGAAATAAAGAAGGATGGATATGTTGTACCAACGGTTCTCCCTTCCGAAATCCGATATGCAATTTTGTTGATAAATCGAGGATCACTAGGTCCGGACAGGATAAGACCAGAACACCTGAAGAACCTTCCACTAGTCCCCATAAACACACTGTATCGCCTCTTCACACGTTACCTCTCTGAATGCAAGGTCCGTACTCAGCGGAAGACCAACAAGACCATGTTACTATTCAAGAATGGTGACCTACACGATATAGGCAACTATTGACCAATCTGCTTGCTGTCTGTTGTCTACAAACTTTTCACTCGAGTTGAAACAACAGGATTGACAGAACACTTGAGGAAGGACAGCCATGTGAGCAAGCAGAGTTTCGAGAAGGAATTAGTACGATGGGCCACACTCACACGATAACGAGACTCATTGAATTATCGAAAGAGTACAAAAAACTGCTCTGTCTCGGTTACGGAAGCGGTTGATAGTCAGGGATTCCCTACTCAGTACATAAAGATTTCTCGTGAGCTGGTCGAAAATTTCACAACCATGATACTACCATTCTACAACAATCTGAACTTTGACGTCAAATGATGAGTTAGGCAAGGCGATATCAACTCGCCAAAGTTATTTATCGCCACTCTCCAAAACGTCATGCGAACATTGGAATGGGATAATATGGGAGTTAAAGTCGGTGGTCGGCAGTTACACCATCTTCGCTTTGCTGAAAACATCGTCTTTATAACACCAAACATTAGCCAAGCGGAACGTATGCTTGCCGACTTAGCTAAAGTCTGTGGAGATATTGGTCTTCGACTCAATCTCACAAAAGCGATGTTCATAAGAAACAGATTGGTTTCGTATGCCCCATTCACGTTCAACGAAACGAATATCTCCGAATGCTCCAGTTATGTCTGTTTAGGTCGGGAAATCAGTGTGATGTACGACTTGGCTCCAGAGCTGAGCAGAAGGAAACGAACGGCTTGAGGAGCTTTCTAGAGCATCGACGATGTAGTGAACAGAATAAAGAGCACCCGACTCTGTGCCCACCTTTTCGTCTCAACGGTACTTTTTGCCCTAAGGTATGCATTAGAAAGCTGGTTGCTGAGTAAGCAGAATGAAAGGTCACTCAGCGGTTATCGAACGCGCAGTCGAAGGGACGATGCTAGGAGCATCCCGTTCAACACAAGTAAGGGATGGAATCCGAAGCTCCGATCTGCGTCAACGATCAAAAATCAAAGATGCGGTTCTGTACGCCAAACAGTCGAAGATAAGGTGGGCCGAACACGTAATGCGTGTGAATGACGACTGAAGGACAGGAGCCGTTAGTGACTGGATTCCGCGGGATGTTAAACGCACCGCAGGAACACCACCGACTTGATGGTCAGAGTTCTTTACAAAAAGCCTTAAAAAAATATGATGCTCGAGTTTCTAGGATTGGCAGAACCCACTGGGTTACTGTTGCACCCAACAGGGAAAAATAGAAGATTTACTGGAGCCCGCTCGAGTCACTCGACAATTAACGGAACTGCAGGTGATGGAGGTGATCGTCTGAAGATTGTGCAGAGGAGGCATTTCTTTAAGAGGGTTACCAGCCGATAAACCAGGATGCCGTGCAAACACATTGCTTTTTGCCACGACCGGCTTTCTATTAACCTCGGCATTGATCAAGTGATTTCCTTCGTATTTTTGCTGAGCAAACGCGAGGTGTTACTATTCTTTGTTCACGATTAAGCTGACGTTTTGGTGGATTTCGCCTTCTTCAGAGCCTGGAAAGGTCAAGTTGATAGCAATCCACTCGGCCAGACGCCTCCATAACCAAACAAAAAAACTCCAAACCAAGATTTCAACCACTTTGAACACAGGTTTGCACACTCACCGCTTTCTATGAGGTTTCCACTAAGTATGTCACGTAGAGACCAACCGAACAGAAATCACATGGAAGTATAATATGCCCCTCACATCAGAAAAGCAGTTTTATATACTGCCCTATATCACGCGTGATAATGAGGCATTCTTCCCTGCGGTTCATTTTCGGATTTCTGGAATTAATCCAGAGTGCCTCGAGAGTTTTTCGCGCCTGTGTTCTTGATTCGCGTGCGAGGATCGTGACACATACTTCGAAGTCGTCCCCGTTATGTCTCTGGGTCCTATGCGTGCCTAGCGGGGTATTTGGTCTATTTTTGACGGCTAGGTGTTCTTTCATGCGGACACGGAGGGGTTTGCCCATTTCGCCAATGTATTCGTCACCACACGTCTTACAGGAGATCAGATAAACTATACCCGAGCTCATGCAATCACCGTCTCTACCACTGGAGCAAATTATGCATTTTTGAGTTGCATATAGACGGTCATATATTGCTTTTTCTTGTTGTATAGAGTTCGAGGATGGCTTGCCAAGGAGAGTCATTCGACACATTTGTATAGAGGGCGGTGACGTCAGAGGACTCCATCACCTCCGCACTCTTAGGATGCGTGTTACATAGAGGGTCGAGGAGCATCTGAGTGTTTGTTAGATGGGCTGCAATATGTTTTAACAACTGGTTAGGCATTAGGTTTATGAGCACCGTTATTCTATCCGTTGGCCCGCCTACACACCTTATAATAGGTCTAGTCTTAAATAGCGTTCCATGATATCGGCAGAAACAAGGTCATCACTGGATATTGACTTATGAGTTCTGATAAGTAAGTGCATCACCGGACATGTTGCTAAGTGAACTGTGAGTTGAGAGATACTGATGGTTTCAACCCAGCCGATCTTGCCATTTTTACCCATCCGTTGTTTAACTTTCGGTATTAACTTTTAAATTGCTTCATAGAGGACGGATGATAAAGAGAAGCATCTTCAAGATGATCTTTCGTTATCTCAACATCTAACTGATAAGGAATTAGAACGAGCTCTCTACCCTTATCACTAACGGATAGTTTCGTGTGCTATTAACCTTGTCAGCACTCGTACTTCCCGTGTACCACAATTTTGCACTTCTGTGAGGTTGGTGCGATATATTTTCGCGCGATAGTGATTAAGGACATTGAAAGTCAACTCCTTAGTGATAATGGGAAAGCTGTTTAAACCTCTTGTTTAAAGAGCTGAGGCAAGTTTAGCACAGGTGTTATGTGCTTTGAAGCAGCTTGTAGTTTTCGGTGAGATCTTGTTTTGTGTGCCAGTTATATAAAGGGATCTTATTGAAAATGTCCTCATCTCTTCCGGCTTATAGATATATCGAATGATCATACAGAGAATACGGTGACTAGATTCTGGAAAGAACCCATGTATCAATTAGGTGTGAAAGAGGCACTATTGTCCGTTTATTAAAATATGATCGATCTCTCCAATAGTGGTTCCTTCAGGAGGCGCTCTTGTCGATTGTCGACTTTCTCTTTTTGAGAAACGAATTCTCATGGAAGAGATCTGCAGCAACAGGAGTTATACAAGGCGGTTTCCACCTCTATTTCTTTCTCCTATTTCGAATTTCCTTACCTTGTATTCATTTTTGTTAACCGTTTCTAATCTGGCGTTGAAGTCTTTAACAACGAATTTATGGAAAAACTTTTCGTTGCGAAATGCTTGTCACAGCTGAATGTAAAACTCACCCAGTTCGCTCTCATCGACTGTGCAAGTTGACAAATAACATTGATGATACTGATTTTTTTTGACGTGGAAGTTGGAGACGAGGAATGCCCATGCGCGGTGATAGAATTTCGTGTAAGGTTAGCAAGCGGGTAGTAGATGATGTACAACAAAGCCAAAGCCTCCGACATTTCGTAAAGAAAAGTCCCCTCCATGAATTGCAAGGGTTTCTTCATCTAACAAGCCTATATTTTTCTAACTGGCTTTTGTCTCTTATAGGGCGTTCACATGGAGCTTTTTGCTATCGGCAGAAACACGAAGAGCGTAAAAATCGGCATCTGAAGAGAATATTCTGGTATTTTAGGCGCAGAGCAAAAACCAGTCTCAGTGCGAGGTCAAGGGTAGGCTTATTTCGTCGTTTTTCTTCAATAAACAGTAAACACGAGGTTGGTATTACAAAATTTATTAGGATACAATAGCTGACGTTTCGGCAGTTTCGTCGTTTTTCCAGCCATATTGAGATGCGATCTATTCAGACAAACATTTTCATATCCCTAACAGATGAAACTTAACAAATAAATTTGCATTGCCATAAGAAACAGCTCCATTAAACACCTACCGTTTATTCGTTGTAAGTATTTCAGTTAGTTGGTGGATAGCAGCCACACCGAGACATCGGCGAGGACTGTGCCTGCGTCAGGCCATTGGATTAGCCTGAGGTATACACTAGGTCACGTGTGATGACAAGACCCTCCTCCTCGCGATTCATTTTTGAATTTTTGGAATTGATCCGAAATACCAACCTCGTGTCTGCTTATTGAAGAAAAGCATCAAATTATCAATCATTGCCGAGGTTAATAGAAAGTCGGTCTTGGGAACTGCTTATTTCATCGTTTCCAACGGCGTGTTGTGCAACACGAGATTTGATCGCCCTTTACCAGTTGTCTTCCCGTCCCATGTCTCAGAAAGGTTCGCCCAGTGTGCGGCGATGCGTCGTACTGAGCCCGAAATCTTGCTGATTTATCCAACGTGGTTTTCCGGTGTTCCGAGATCAACGTAGCTGAAACCTTCCTTGGATTCTCACCACCTTAGGTAATCGCCTCCCTTGTGGAACAGGGTGAGATTTTCACTGTGCGACTTGTTAGATATAATTAGGCCGGTAGTGATTTTTGGTACTGGTTTATTCTTAGCTGAACTTCCAGAAGGAAATATCAGGCTCTTTTTCAGCTCGCCACTCTAATTTGGAAGAAGAACCCAGCTTTGCATCATAGCTAGACTTCCAAAAACATCAGCTAGCCACTAAGGCATTTAACTGTTTGCAGGATAATAACAACAGTAGTAATAATAGTAACAATAGTAATAATAATAACTACACTGACCATGGTAATAAAAAGGCTTGTGACAAGTAGTAAAAATATTAGTTGATACTTGATGCTTGAATGGCCTGACTCCACTGGTTGTGCGAGATGATTCCCCGCTGCACATCGCAGTCCGATACCCAGGAACACATGCCGGCCACGATGAGACGGTAAACCGTTGGGTGGGATAATAACATTATTGAAATCATGGTGGCTTCCACAGGAAGACAGGCTCTTCACAGGTGCTGTTTGATGGAGTCCTTGTAACTGTAGGGACTACTCATATACCAAGTGGAAAAGGTAAACTAATGAGTGGCGTTGTTTTCATATCGAAATTTCTATGTAGGGAATAGTCTAAGTAGTTCTTGTGCTTTACTGCTCTGATGTGAAATTGTAGGTAATCTGGAATTTGATGGCGAAAATAGAGTGAATGTGGTTCGTCCCATATTAGTTCACATCCTTCACATTCCTTCTTCTGTAGCACTTTTTCTTGAGTAGAATTCCTAACTATCATAGTTCATAAGTGTGTACTCTCATTTTTCTACGCAGTATTTCGTCTAATTGTTAATGAACCATCGTTTAATAAAAGTTCAATCGCCTAAATTTGAGGTAGCATTATGGAGAAAACAAATGTTCTAAGTGGAGGCAAGCAAGAAGAGAACTTAGTTGTGCAATAGTGAAAAGCCGTTTTATCTACCTTCCGCCAAGTGCTTTTCCTCATTGTTCCTTGCAGGCTTGTGTGAAATATAGCAGAGTCAACTTTAATCACTATGGATGTCAAGGCAACTCCTACTATACGGGTGATTTGTGCTACTGCTATTCTTCTTCCCTCATCGGTAGGAATGCTGCACCATTTCACCGTTATGGCGGCATTCTACAAGGTGGCGAATTTTTGAAATCGGGGAAAAAAGTTGTAAACTACATAATAACGCGCAAAACAACGTAGAGTAGAAATTTTTAGATTCAGTGCAGATTTCGAAGAACGCAAGAATTACTTGTCCACCTCTCTAGATCGGTCTTTTTAAGCTTTTTTTGTAGCTACTGAAGGAAAGAGAACC